AATGGACTTCACACAGTTGTTGGCCTTCACAAAACATACCAAACGGCTGAAAATTTAAAAAATCGGATAATAACCATGCCCACATCCCATATAACGGTAAGTTAGAGAAATACGAAAGCTTCGATAAATCAGTAAATACTGGAGCTAATTTATTCAAGATTGATGTTTGCAATAATTCTTTAACAAAAAATACGCTTATAATAAAATGCTTCTAAAATGGGCGTGACCCCGCCCACTTATGATCATATATGTGTATCTCGGTAACCGTTCGATCAATGTGTACCAAACTCGAAATGATTATTGTGGTTGCCACATAAAGGCAAAGCGTTGAAAGTTATCGAAATCGGACTAAAATTACGCCCACTTTTTCATACCGGTAAATTTCAGAAATGCTTGAAACTTCGATATTTCGAGATTTAAGGACGCTAATTTGACCCAAACAATCCCTTGAAAAGTAACATTATTATTGAATTTTGGAAATTGGGCGTGATGCTGCCCACATATATCTATATAAGTTTATCTGATTATATCTAACTGAACGTTCTATCGAAGATGTTTAAAATAGGGTAACCCCACCCCTGCTTACCATGTAGCGGTAGTTTTCGGAAAGCTGAAAAAACTATATTGAATACTTGCGCCGGGTATTTAATATTCGGCTTCGCCCGAACTTAGACTTTTTTACTTGTTAAGAAATAATTTAGATGAATAAATTAGGTGATTTAGTTAAATAAAAAATGTAAAGGTTAGTAATTGGAACATTGTATCCAGTAAAAAGTTTTTAATGGGTCGTAAATCAGGGCCACTATATAATTGCTCGCTCGAGGCGAAAAACTTGAAAAACTTGAGACTTGACAAAATTGTAAATTCTTTTCGATTGACTCTGCACCAGTCGAGAGGACTTTCAGTTATATTTATTGTTTTTTTTTTTATTGCGGTGCAGTAATTTTTTTTTGAGAATTGCATCGGGCTGCAAATGTCGGATGTATCCCCCTGACTTTCATCGTCACAATCTAGTATCATGGCAAGATCGTTGTTTAAACACCGTTGTTTTCCGAAGAATTCTTCATTCTCATTCTTTTGGTTGTTTCTTAATTTAAAGAACCTGTAACGTCAACAGCGTTTTTCGATATTAGTTTTTGTAATTCATTTTTAATACTTTCTTCTGTGACTGGCCAGATATACGTTTTATCAGTGCACTTACACAATATTCCAGGGACCGAAAATAACAGTTTTTTTTTACCAGTTAAACTTGGCCTAAAATTTTTTATTCCGAAATAAAAGTTTTTTCTGGATAATAAACAAACAGCTTATGAAAATTAAACAAATTTAATATCATGTGAAAGAGGACTGAAATAGCTTTTAAACAGATATAACGAACGAAGGTTACCACCTCTATTTATATTTTTTTATACAATTTAATACTAAAGAAATTCATATACCTGACCCAAGGTTTGTTCTATGGTAATTAATTAACATTTTTTATTGAACTATTTTTCAATAGGTGGCTTTGCTCGTTTAGACATTTCAGTTTTAAAGCTATTTAAGTCCTCTTTCATTTGGTACCAAACTTGTTTAATTTGGATAAGCGGTTTGTTTATTGTCCGGAAAGGACTTTTAGTTGGGAATAAAAAATATTTGGCAAAGTTTAACTCGTAAAAAAAAAATAACTGTTATTTTCGGTCCCTTCAATATTCGCATTCGCAAAAGATCCGCATTGATTAATGCGAATGCGAAAGCGAATGCGAATGTTAAATTTAATGCGGAAGCTCCGCTCAAAAAATTTTAAATGAGAAAAAACGAAAAAGACCGGCGGGAACTTTTAGCTGCACATTGCTCGATATACTAAAATTCAATGGGCTATAAAACTGTATACCCAAATATGTTCTAAAAATTCAGAATAAAAGGTCCGAAATTTTATTGAAAGTCTGTTGGAAGTGTCTAAATATTGTGTATAGCTTGAATCTTTGATTTTTATTAGTTTCGTTAAGGCACATACAATATTATACAAAAAAAAAGCAGAAAAATTACTTGAAAAACATTGTGAATATTAAAAAAAATCGCCAATCGGTTTTTTTTTATCACTGTATTTGTCTATAGCAACTCCAGTTGAAGTGTTTTTTAAAATGGTGAAGTTTCGTTGTTGCCTTTAGTTTTATCATTTTCGCTTTTGGTTGAAGGAAACCGAGAAGTTGTCATTAATATGATCTCAAAGACCATATTATTAGTTAAATAAAAAGTTTCTTAATAAAAAATTTAATTTTTATTGAAATCTGTTTCAGAAAAAAAGAACAAATCTATAGCATATCTGAAGATTTTTAAATGAGAAAGCTGTGTCCAAGATGGGTGCCGCATTTTCTCATACTCGACCAAAAACTGTGTCGTGAAGAGGTTTCAATTGAGTGTTTAGCGAATTAATGTTTGAATTGCTACCTGCACCCTATTCGCCAGATTTAGCCCCCTCGTACTATTTTCGGTCCTCAAAATTCAAAAAATGGTTCCGTGGTCAAAGATTTTCTAACGACGAAGAAGTGACGTCGGCAGTTGATGGCTACTTTGAGGAGCAAGACAGTTCTTTCCCTAAAATTTTTGTGTTTTCTTTGTTAGGTCGGGTACTTCTGGGACCAGCCCCGTACACTCTGCAAAATTTAATTGACTCGGCCCCGCCAGAATTTTTCAAATAACACGGTGCTACAAAAAATAAAAAATGGTTGCATGTACTTTTTATGTTATGTAAAAGCGAGTGTACAGGTCAAGGCGAATTTATATAAGGTAGTGTTGTTTCATCAGCTGTGAGTAGCGTGTGATTGTCAAAATTTTGTATTTGGCTAGCGAGTGAGTGAAAACGTGAGGGTGTTTATACTTTCTGTCAACCTTTTCCTTCGGGGAAGAATAGCTGAAACTTTACAATGCAACGCTCAAAGCAAAAACAAAATACAAGTAATTGTTGCATTTGTTGAATCGATACCACCTTATATAAATTCGCGGTTCAGAATGGGCTTCACCTGTTGTGCGGCAACCACTGCCTTAAGCAAAATACAAATCTTTAGCATGGAAACCAAAACGTTCCGGGACCCGCTGACTCTCTACTGCAAAATGAGGAAGAGTCTGAATCAATGAGACACTAACTTTGCGAATGTTCCGCGCTCTGGAGGAGGGGACTAAAATTCAGGACCACTGAAACCTTTGGGCGCTTGAGCGCCAAAACCTTTCCAATTTAGACTAATGAAATATCATTGATAAGATATTTTCTCACCTCACCTTTTAATTTATTTGCGAATAAGCTCATTCAAGGTATTTAAGAGGAAGGTAAATAAGATAAACGAGTGTCATTCCATGTTGAATTTAGATGTGTTGGTGTTTGATAAAGAAAAAAATTGGGACGTGAACGAGTCTTTTTGCAAAGAAATAAAAAGGGTGAGAAAATACCATTCCACTGATACCTCACAAGTCTACATCGTTAAAGTTTTGGAGCAGTTATTCAAGTTTTTCTTACACAAATCTTTGAAACAGGTTAAAATACAGCCTCAAAAATCTCATTATTATGATTCCGTAGAAAATTTTTAAAAAATATTTTTATGCAAATTTTTATAAGCTGTTTTGCTATCTGAGGGAATTTTTTTCAAAAAATCCTTTAAGAAACAATTTTTATTCATAAAAAAACTCCATTTTTAGAGGTGTTTTCAAACCCGTCTAGCTCACGTAAATCTTAATATTTTTCCGAAATATTTTGATAGAAGTCTTAGAATATACTAGACTAGCAGGCCACGGATGCGCCAGGCTTCGCCACGCGCTGATTGCATGCATATATATGTACATTTACGTATGTGGAGAAAGAAATCATATGTCATCATCAGGGCAACCAAAAAGGAGCACTAACAAGTTTTTTATTATAACAGTTATGACACAATCCTTGATATGGGGTAGTTTTTGTAAAAATCTTAACATTTTGACCTACATTTGTTATAGCCAAAAATTGCCAAATTCATAATAAATGCCAATTTATGCTAATTTCAGTTATAATCAGGGACTTGAACCGATTTTGAACCGGAAAACCGCTTTTTCTATTAATTAACTGAACCATTAACCGAACCGAAATTTTCCACAATTGTTTGATCCGAACCGAAAACCGAAGCAATTTTCATAAAGGTTCGTTTCAACCAATTTTCAATAGATAAATTTATCCCTTTTTTCGTTAATATTGTTACGATTATCCTTGTTTAATTGATTGAAATTAATTCACGTGACATGCCTTGCTCATGCTCTTCATAGGCTTTGTGAAAAAATACGCGAATCTAATCCTAAAGTTGATCGTTTAATTGCTACCATAAAAAAAGTTTTCTTAAGGCTCCATCGCGGACTACAATTTTTATTTCGAGCTAGATATACCATTCCCTCTTGCACCCATAATAACACGGTGGGGAACATGGCTGGAAGCAGTTAGCTATTATGCTAAATATTTTGAAAAGATTCGAACAATTTTGAAATTATTAGATTCAAACGATTCTCAATTTATTAAAAATGCGAAAATATTATTGGTAGATACTGATGTTCGACAAGGAATAATTTTTATAGATGCTAATTTCGGTATTCTGGTGGACTCCATAAAAAAGCTGGAGAATGTCGGTCTTCCGCTCACAGCGCAATTGCAGGTGGTTGCAGATATCAAAGAAACAATTGATAGAGTTGAATGTGTGGAAGTAGAAGAAAAGCTCAGCTCGTTGTTATTGAAAAACAAAGGCTACATTGAGATGGAAAGCATTGCTGACCAAATTGCGGGAAAACCTACATCCTGTCACAATTCCACATACACAATTTCTGAAGTGTTGGCCTTCAAATATGTACCTGTAACGTCCGTGGACGTTGAAAGAACATTTTCGATGTACAAAAGTATTTACCGTGACAATAGACACGTATTTCTGTTCGAAAATTTAGCTGAAATGTTTGTTGTATACTGAAACAACAATATAAAGTAATTTTTTTTATTGAATACTTGAATTATTCTTCTGTTTTGAAACTTATACTAAAGAATTTATGTACCTTTCGTTATTCGTTTTTTTTAGTTGTTATGTTGTAAGAATGTAAGCTGAAATAAAATAAAACAAAACATTTTTAAAGCTAATTTAAAGTGCCAATTCATCAACTTTAAGAGCAATTTTTATGATTTTTTATAGTAATTTTTTGGTTGCCCTACTCATCATGTACTTCGTTTTTTATATACATAAAAATTTTTTTTCTATATTCGTTCAGTACCGTGGTTAAAATACCTCGCCTTTCCTGTATACTATGTATAGAAGATAGTAATTTTAAATAGGTGACAACCCTTTCATTTGGTTTCTTATTTTTTTATCCAAGGAACGGTGAAGATCTTATAGTTTTTAAACAGGTGGTAATACTACTCAGAAAAATAATACATTATTACACATCCAGAGGCTAAGTTTTTGTTGTTGTTGTTGTTGTTGTTGTAGCAGCATACAAGTTCCCCATAGATTTTTGGGGAGTGTTGCTGGAGTGACAGTCCTTGGCCAGATATAAATCTGGCTCGTTCCGGTTACGTAGACCCGACTGTCGTGGGAACGCAGCTAAGTCTTTTCGTTTGACAGTGACGGTACAGAACTGATGCCTATGCTTGTTATGATTGTATATGGTAATTTTATTAACAGGTGGCAACCCTATCAAAACAAAAAAATATTAGTGCTTTTCTAGAGGCCAATCCCTTTCATTTGACACATCATCTTTTTAATCCAACGAACGGTGCGGATCTTATTGTTTTTTAGACAGGTGGCAACCCTATTAAAATTCTAAGTAAGAAAAGATCCCTCTCCTGTCGATTATATTAGAGAAAATCTCGTCAAAATCCGTTCAGTAGTTTTTGAGATTGCCGTGTACAAAAAATCTCGACTTTCCTTTATACTATGTATAGATTTTGTAATCCCGCCGGAAAAACCGCAACTTTTTTTGGTGATGCAGTCTAATGTACATAGGTCTCTCCAATGTGTTCGTAAGCGTGCTTGCTTGCGATGCCCATCCATGGGTGCCGGCCTAAGAATGTTTTCACTGCATCGTCGTCATCCTTGCGCCGATGTCGTCAAAAATCTCTTACAGTTCGTAATTCCATCTTCTTCGGTACCCGGCGCGAACAGGGTCATAGATATTGCGTGGAATAGTTCTCTTGAAAGCCTCCACAGCCTTGGCATCTTTGTTCGATATCGAGATTTGTAGCGTGCGGTTTTTGTCTCTAAGCGGCAATTAAATTCCTCTTCGTGCTGTGAGTATTAAATGTGGGTTTAAAATCGAGGAAATCAATCATTTGGCATATTAAGGGTTTCAACTTTTCCCACAGTATCGTCGATAGGACCGTATAGGCAATGTTTGAAAAGAGGGCTCATTCTTCTAGTGGATTGGGCAGACTATATGTACTAGAGTGGTTAAAAAATTTTTTTTTTTGGAAATTCATAAACCCTACCTCAAGTTATTGTTATTTGTGATAAAAAAAGAGAAACGTGTTTTTTTATTTTGAAAAAAAAGTTTTCTTAGAGGTCGCGCTGGTCGGTTTTTTATAAAAACCCTGATGTTCACAATTTTTTTATTTTCTTGACATGTTAAAATGCAGCTAAAAATTTGTTTTTTACATATAATTACTCTGGTATTATTGGGGAACATTCCCTTAATTACATACCTGTCTTGGACCGTTAGAATGGGTCTAGTGCCCGAAAATATGCTCTCGAAAAGAGACTAGTAAAATTAAAACGTTGATACTGAACGATTTACGCATTGTCATGGGTTGGAACTTGTTACCGGGGGGTTTCTGGGGTTGCTAATTAGGGATTTGAAGTCAGTTTTTCGAAGTTCAAAATGGCGGTCCATTTTTAAAAAAAATTATTGAATTCGTTCGAAACTTGGCACTCAAGAGTTTGTGTGATCGCCGACTACGAATCTGAAGTCAACTTTTTTAAATTCAAAATGGCGGATCCAATATGGCGATCAAATTAAAAAAAAGTACTAAAATTAAAACGTTGATACTGAGCGATTTACGCATTGTCATGGGTTGGAACTTGTTACCAGGGGGTTTTTGGGGTTGCTGATTACGAATCTGATGTCAGATTTTCAAAATTTAAAATGGCGGTTAAGGGTTTCAAACAAATCCAATCATTTTTTTAAAGTTGGTCGCCATTTTGGATCCACCATGTTGAATTTTGAAAATCTGACATCAGATTCGTAATCAGCAATCCCAGAAACCCACTGGAAACGTATTTTAACCCTTGACAATGTTTAAAACGTTTAGTATCAACGTTTTAATTTTAGTACTTTTTTTTAATTCGATCGCCATATTGTATCCGCCATTTTGAATTTAAAAAAATTGACTTCAGATTCGTAATCGGTGACCCCAAAAACTCTCGAGTGCCGTGTTTCGACCAAATCCAATAATTAATAAAAAAAAATTAACCACCATTTTGGATCCGCCATTTTGAATTTCGAAAAAATGACTTCAGATTCCTAATTGGCAACTCCAGAAACCCCCCGGTAACAAGTTCCAACCCATGACAATGCGTAAATCGTTCAGTATCAACGTTTTAATTTTACTAGTGTCTTTTTGAGAGCATATTTTCGGGAACTAGACCCATTCTAATTGTCCAAGACAGGTGTGTAATTAAGGGAAAGATCCCCAATAATACCAGAGTAATTATATGTAAAAACCACATTTTTAGCTGCATTTTAACATGTCAAGAAAATAAAAAAATTTAGAACATATAAAAAACCGGCCAGCGCGACCTCTAAGAAAACTTTTTTTTCAAAATAAAAAAAATACGTGTCTCTTTTTTTATCAAAAATAACAATATTCTGCTGTAGCGTTTATGAATTTCCAAAAAGAGTGTTTTTATGAACCACTCTAATATGTACACTAAGATTAGAATATTCGGTCTTAGTGGAGTCAAAAGTTAAGTTCTGAACACATTGAAAACGACGAGCTACGGGCTACAGCTTCCAATTTGTTATCTTTATTATCTAAACGCTTTGTCGATGGCTACATGAATTTTATGAACGCGCCAGCGACATCATGAATTTGTATGAGTTTGACATAAAAGAAGAGGAAAAACCTTATCTGTCGCTGGAAAAATAGAAATAGATCTAAGCTGGCCACAACCATAGTCGTCGCGTAGCTCGGTCGTCGCCAAAATAATTATCTACATAAGAATACGTGTTAAAATAATTTGACAGCTGTGGTCCGTAGATCGTCGTTTTCATTATGTTCGGGCTATTAGCTGCCACCCAACTATATTGGAAGCGATTAGTTGAAAGTCCGTTCACACCAGGTGACTGTTGCTTTAAACTAAAACTTGCCTGTAAAATCGCCTCATGTTAACACCCTGTAATACACGCGCCCAACCAACCCTTCTCCCCATCGGATTTGTACAACTTTGCCGGCTCCAGGAGCTTTGATGTTTTTAAGTCGCATTATTGCTGTTCTCACCTGGTCTTGGTCAAGTGGTGGGACGTGAGCTCCGTCTGTATACATCGGCATTATTTTGTGAGTTTGTTTTCATCAATCGCGCCATCGTATCTGATATGTACTCTGCATTTCTGTTACCAGATTTCCCTCTTCGTCTTTGCTGGGAATAGTCAAGATTTTGAAACTATTTGATTGCTGCCTATTTTATGATCGCATTTTATGCGTCTCATTCATGCCTTTTAGCATCTCAAGCTTTTCGGGCTCAGGCTTTTTTACCTTTATTTCATTTATACTCCTTCCCCTGTACGCTATTTTACTCTGTACCCGCATTGTCTTCTCTTAAAACTTCTAATAGCCTTTGGAAATCTTTAAGCGGCGGTCGTGCCACAACAACATGCAGAGATGTAACGAATATCGTAATAAAAAGTAATGGACCTACCTAGGATTTTGAAAATAAGTAATACAGTAACAATACTGAGGAATGGCTGAAATTTGCATATATGTATTTATTCTGATTTACTGTAAGGAATAGTGTTACATAAATGTATACAATTACGTTCATTGCATCTGGTTACGATTACCTTCGAATGGGCCATGTGTAAGTACATTTATACCTACATACATATATGTATATGTACATTAGACCGTAGCGCCTTACAAGCAAACAAAAAAAATTTTCACTGTACTTTTGCAAGGCTATTTAAAAAAATTCTTACCTAGGGGCGTATCTCTAAATTTTTCGACGACACCTAAATTCGGCAGTAGGTTTTTTTTTAATACATATGTACGTAGTTCTAATGGAATAATCGTAATACTTTCTTAGCAAAAGTTTAATAATTTTTGGAGAGCTTTAATTTATGATATCAGGGTGGAACGTTAGGCTGACTGATAGGTAAGTACCAGAATAGGGCTCTTGAGGCCAATAAACTCTGGAATAAAATAGTTGTCATCCCGAGAACAGAATTTTGATATATCATAATTTAAGATCCGACTGTAAATACCGACGGCAAGACGAAGAATGTGAAGAGGCAATCCGTGCAAA